GAAGTTAACAACAACAAAAACAAAGAAACTTGGAGCTTTAAGGGAAATTGCTTTCAGGACTTGGGGGAAGAAAAGACATGTTTGACTGTGGAAAGAGCCAAGATGTCCATCGACAGATGAATGGATAAAGAAGATGTGGTATATATACACAATGGAATATTATGCAGCCATCAAAAGGAATGAGATCTTGCCATTTGCAACGACATGGGTGGAACTGGAGGGTGTTATGCTGAGTGAAATAAGTCAACCAGAGAAAGACATGTATCATATGACCTCGTTGATATGAGGAATTTTTAACCTCGGGAAACAAACTGAGGGTTGCTGGAGTGGTGGGAGGTGGGAGGGATGGGGTGGCTGGGTGATAGACATTGGGGAGGGTATGTGCTATGGTGAGTGCTGTGAATTGTGCAAGACTGTTGAATCACAGATCAGTACTTCTGAAACAAATAATGCAATATATGTTAAGAAAAAAAAGAAGAAGATAGCAGGAGGAGAAGAATGAAGGGGAGTAAGTCGGAGGGGGAGATGAACCATGAGAGACGATGGACTCTGAAAAACAAACTGAGGGTTCTAGAGGGGAGGGGTTTGGGGGGATGGGTTAGCCTGGTGATGGGTATTAAAGAGGGCACATTCTGCGTGGAGCACTGGGTGTTATGCACAAACGATGAATCATGGAACACTACATCAAAAACTAATGATGTATGGTGATTAACATAACAATAAAAAAAGCCATGTTTGAGGCCATGTGGCAGATACCTTTGGAGAGATGCCCAGAAAAGTAGTATTCCCATCACTCCTCTATCCATCTTTTCTAGCCTAAAAAAGGCATGGCTTCCTATTCTAGAACTAGAATGTGTGCTCTTCATGCTTTTGGGATTTGCTGAAGACAATGTGGCTACAATTAAATGACTTGGATATTTTCACCTTTATAAGATGCAGTAAGAGTGGCAGCTTAAATGATACGTGAGTCAAAGGTTAACTTCTATGCTAAAACATGTTCTTTAGGATGAGTTTGTATCTCAGGAAACAAATATGGAAAATCTTCACTTGCATTTTTTTTTTTGCTACAGTTAGGATAAGCATATAATAATTTATCCTCAAAACGAGGACACTTGAGAATGCAAGGAGGGTACTAATAATTATACCTGGACAACATAAACCAGAATTGTTCCAGGCAAACTGGGATATATGACCACTTACAGTACAGCCTTGGTGTTCAATATTATCACATTGTGTAACTTTAAGCCTTTAAGCATGACGATCTAATTTATTTTTTATAATTTTGTTTTATTTTAAAGATTTTATTTGAGAGAGAGAGAGCACGAGCAGGGGGAGAGGGAGAAGCAGACTCCCCGCTGAGCAGGGAGCCTGATGGTGGGGCTCGATCCCAGGACCCTGAGGTCCTGATCTGAGCTGAAGGCAGACGCTAAACCAACCGAGCCACCCAGGCACCCCCATGACAATCTAATTTAAAAAAGGAATATTAATATAGGTATTATATATTCGAGGTGTAATCCTTTAGTTATGCTACTACACCAAATAGATCTCTTTGGCTAGAAGGAAGGGTGTTCCATTTTTTTCCCTCGTGGTGCTGAGTATTATGATCTGCTTTACATTAACGTCACAGGAAACTAGTCAATTGCAGCAAATCACACTGCAGAGCTGAGCTTAAAGCTAAAACCTCTGTTCCCTGAGTCCCGTTGTTGCTCACTGAAACCATGAAGGGTTGCCTTCTAGAATTTGATCAGATTTCTATTGCAGATTCACCAGAGGTGGAGACTTATGACTGCCTTTCAGATAAGAAATCTTGTCAAATTTGTAAAGAGGCTTTTCCTAGTTCACATGAATCCTCTTTTTCCCACTTCCCTAAAAATCCTGGGTGCTAGTCCGAATCATGAGTCATGTACTTTTGGTCTTTTTTTGGAAAGATTTCTTTGGGCATTCAAGAAGTGATCCAGGTATTCATTAAGTTTAGTCCTTGGGAATTTTGTGTGTTGCAGTAACTAGGCAACGGTTAAGATGTTTTAACTTAGCATGTCCTGTACTGGCAAGTTTAAAAAAAGAACTGTCAAGCCATACTTGGCAGAACCTCCCTTGGACTCTCCCACCCTCTGTACAGTTCTCCTGTACATCTTGGCTGTCCTCCACGGCTAACAGAGGCCTCTTCTGTCTCAGCCTCTCTGACAGCCTCGTCCAAGCCTTTCCCACTGCAGAACAGCTGGACACCCACACTGTCCCTATAATCGCTAGGACTATGACTAGTGGTTTGATCATCCATTACCTTTCCTAACAACTCTCACGTCCATATCTGAAACCTACTCTTAATTGCTACACCTTTGAACATAATTTGCCTTTGTTTATGAAAATACAACTAAGTTCTAAGTTAGTAGTTTAAGAACTGTGCTTCTTCATCAACTATAAGGGCACACATTTCAGACACAAACTCTAGCTCTTAATTTAAAGTGAATTTCCAATGCCAACTCCTTCAATGACATGGAATGTGTAAAAGGTCTCCTATGTTCAATGTTAGAGGGATCTGACTTGCCAGGTATACAATTTTGGAAGCAGAACTACTGCACTAGAGACCAGGTAAGATGCTGTCCTTAGAAAGCAGGATTCTGTGGTACAGTGGTACAGGGCAAAAGCTTTGGTATCAGTCACAGCTAGGATTCGAATCTGTTCCTTACGTAGTAGCTATGTGACTCTATAACCTCTTAGCCTTAGTTTCATCATCTATAAAATGGGGATGAGAACTGTCCTTGTCTTAGAGGTTTGTTGTGCTGCTTAACTGAGATAGTGCATATAAACTGTTTAATGTAGTGTCAACTGCTTGTTTTTGTCTCCTTTTAGATTGTATGTATCTCAAAAGCAGGAGTGTTAAGAACTGAATGAGCCGAAGTATGTAAAAGGTACATAAAAGCTACCATTAGCTCCCAAGAAATTAAGCTAAGTAGGAAAATACATGAAGCTCAATTTAACTTGACTTCTTTGTCTAAAAAGTTAACCAGTTGTTTTCACCAGAGTTTTCCCATGGCTTTGGAACCCACCAGTGGCATCTTAAGGGGACAAGAACAAGTCAGGGTGTCTTGTGGGAGTTCTGGCAAGGGTCTAGACTGGTAAGCAAGCAATTGCATAAAAAGGGTACTGGATGCCTGAGCAAAACAGTGGACAACTCCTAAGCCTTAAAGACAGAACTGGGCACCATCCTTTATTACTATGACCTTGGGAATTTAACCTTTCTAAAAAAAAGGCTCTTTTTAATCTGCCCACCAATCTATGAAGAATGCTAGTCTAAATGACCATTTAAAAAAATGAGGCTTGGGCCCCTGGGTGGCTCAGTTGGTTAAGGACTGCCTTCGGCTCAGGTCATGATCCTGGAGTCCTGGGATTGAGTCCCGCATCGGGCTCCCTGCTCAGCGGGGAGTCTGCTTCTCCCTCTGACCCTCCCCCCTCTCATGTGCTCTCTGTCTCCCACTCTTTTAAATAAATAAATCTTTAAAAATAAATAAATGAGGCTTAACATAAAATAGGAACAAAGCAAAAACTGAGCAAAGTGTTAATTTCCTCTTTTATATGACACTAACACTTTAAGCTTGAATTCTAAATGGGCTAAGATTCTCTTCTACTTATGAATGTCTGATTATGATTTTAGCAAATCTCAACTAGGACATAGTCATCTACAACCGTTTTTGGAATTTAAAAGCAGCAAAACGTTTTGTTCCCCCAACAACGTGCGTGCGTTGTGAACCAACTTGTCCCCCCAAATTCACACTGAAGCCCTAACCTTGGATGTGATGGTATTTAGGCACGGAGCCTTTGGCAGCTAATTCCTTTAGATGAGGTCATGAGGGTGGAGCTGCATGATGGGATTACTGACTGTCCTGAGACACAGCACAGCTTGCTTCTCACTCTCCCCCACGAAGGAGGACAGTTAAGATGGCCACGAAGAGGCCAGAGAGCCCCTAGTGGGGAAGTGAGCAGGCCAGCACCTTGACTGCGGACTTCCCAGCCTCCAGAACTGTTGAGAAATAATTCCCCGTTGGTTAAAGCCACCCAGTCTACGATGTTCTGTTATGGCAGCCCAAGCTAATACACTAAGTAAAATAATAAGTGGAAGAGAGGAACTGCTTTAGAGAAAACACGGAGTAGGGAGGGACTAAGCTCTACCTCATTCAGGAACCCTAGGGTCCCACGATATAGAGTGAAAATAACTGTTTAATACCCACCCAAGAAGAATCACGTTCATGTGCCACAGGAACAAACTCTACGGGATGGCCCAAATTCTAGCGTATTAGTCTGAAAATAAGTGAATAGGATTCTATTTTCCTTTAGACATCTGTTGCAAAAAGGATTGGTGCTAAGTTTTAATATGGTGGTAAAAAAAGAACCTGCTTGGGTCAGGGACCTGGGGAAGAACGTGTCTGCTGATGTGATGTCATTTCACGATGGGGAAAAAAAACCCTAGCCTTGCTCCCGAATGATCTTTTATTTCACTACCTACTTCAGAGCTCCATTTGAGGTGGGTACCTTTAAGGGATAGAAAACATCAAACACAACTTAAAAATTTATGTTGCACTTTGTCCAATTATAAGGCAAAAAGCAGAAGACACTTTCAAAAGCATAATGCTGTACGAATGACTCATTTACAGCCCCACCCACACCGGGGTTCAAGACAGGCTAGCAAACCCACTGTGGAAAGGGAATGGCAAACTACCAAGTTTGATAATGTGACCCCCACGGTAGGCATAGTAGTTACACAGGAATAGAACCATCTTTCATAAAAGAAAGCGGGGGGTGGTGGCAGTTGGGCAGAGAGGGAAAGTTCCCCAACTCTGTAGATAACTTGGTTACAAAGAATAATGTAGCCTTGAAGGGAGAAGAGGAAACCCACACAGTGGACACCATGTTGCTGAAAGAGGGTCTGGAGAAGGTCGTTCCCAGGCAGCCTATTTAAATGCCTTAGTGAATGCAGGTCACACACCGAGGAGCATCTCAGGCCCTTTTTTTCTTTCTTTCTTTATGACAACAATTTTGTAATTAATTAGGCTCTGGACTTCTCAGGGAAGCCCAGAACTGGGCCTAAAGAATAAGATACAGGGAAAAACTTGTGAAACCATGAAAATACATTTTTTAAAAAAAGTTTTTAGGTATAATACACAAAAGCAAACAAGTTTATCTTAAAAAATATCAAGTATCACATCAATAGACTACTCCTAATTATAATTACTTCTTAAAGCAACATGTCTTTGTTTACAAATACAGCAGCAGGTGATAAAACCTAACATCTCAAACAGATTGCTTACAGTTCATAATACAAAACAAATGTCTATGTCTCAAATCACATTTTAGGCAGTTTAACTTAAAATGCATAGACAATTACATACATCAAATTTGTCATTATTAAGTCAATTTTAAAAATCACAATATTAAAAAATACAAAAACAAAACAAAACAAAACCTTTATAGAGCACGCATAAGAAGTCAAGTTTACTTAATGGCAACAATCAGTATCTGTTAACCAGTGACAGGCAGTTTAAGTGCCTTCATCCAGGGAAGAAGTGAAGAGGAAAAACCTCCTGTTACTTTGCACACGTGAACAGTTGCACCGACAAACACTACAATCTTGAGAAACATTAATTTCTTACTTTAAAAAAAAAAAAAGGTACACCACACTTTGCTGTTTAAAGTGTCCAAAGGCTGGCCTCTCATTTCCACCAGCGGCAAACTAAAACATGTTTCATCTAGGTAAACCAAAAATGGGTGTACTCATGCATTCTGTAAATGCTACCCCTAGACGGTAAGCCTCCACGGGACAGGCATTCTCCTTCTTCTCTGCAGCTCTGGGAGCTGGCAAAGCACCAGGATCAGACACTTGAGTGCTGAACAAATGCAGTTCTCAGATGTTTTCTCTAGCCAGGAGCTTGCCTGGCATTTCTTTAATACTGATTATTTTATTGGCAATTTTAATTTTACTTGGCAAAATTCTGAAAATAAAAAGTGTCTGTCCTTCAATACTCAATATTGCTCAAGATTAAATTTTAGTCTTCCCTGAAAGCTGCCCACCACTTTCTCTGCATAGTACCTCTATCAGCGTGATTCATCTGAATTTAACCTTATGCTTTTCAAAAACCAACACTTGAAGGTCTGTGCTTATTAGGTTTAATGTCCAGGGTTTATAACCCTGGCATTTTATAAATCTAGCACTCACTTATTCAGGGTGAGGAAGACATTGGCACTAATCATTTAGAAGTCTAGGCAACTGATGGACATGCAAACGAGACACAGCATCTCAACTGAAACGTGAGTAGAGCTTCGTCCTTCTGTACACAATTTCAAAAGCTGTCCTTTGGGGTACAACAGGTAGCACTTATTATTATTTGTGAGATAAAATTTTACGGGCAAAACCGACTTCTTCCTAGAAATAGGCCAATATTCTGTTGTAGTGGTGTGCCAGACCAAGGCCAAAAATTCACCCCCTTTTTTCTCTCCCCTTTTATCATTCTCTACTGAAAACAACAGGAAAACTGACGAAGGGAGGAGGGCCCTGGGTAATTAAAAGAAAAGTGTTGCCTATTGCTGAATAATCTATGTTCTACTTTATACAAAACAGGGCTGTGGAGTCTGAGTTGTAAACACCATCTTCAAAAGCATGAAAAGGCGTCAGGCTGAGCCCAGGACAGACAAGCCAAGGTATTATTTCAAGCACTCCTCCAAGGAGACTTGATTCTTGAGAACTGCGTGTGTGATGAGGACCTAAGATCTTTATTTTCATTTTCCGGTTTAACATTTCAAAATCTAAGATTCCAACTTCAGAAACACTAATCCTCAACACATCTCGATTATCTCCATCAAATTTGTCTTAAAGTTCTTGCTCAGAGAGAGCCCAAGTGCCAGCATATTCCATCCTGTGTACTCCCTTCTGAGACCAAACAAACTTTCTAAGAAACAGTCTCTTCCCTAAACTGATGCCGGCCTACCAGGACTGGTTTCGAAAGCAACCTTATTCCCTTGTAAAGAGAAAAACCTTCCCCCCCGTGCTTTCCCCCCATTCCTCCGCTGGAACAACTTCTGCTTTTAACTTTACCCTGAACCTAAGAATACATTTTTGTCCCCAGAGTACCCACGTGCATTAAGATTCTCCCCGCAAGCTGAGAAATAATGCTCTACAAAACTAAAAGGAACATAAAAGCAAATTCTTGTCCCTTTGATTTCCATTCTTAGGTTAAAAAAATTTCACAACTACTAGTTGGAAAGTCCTTGAAAAGAAAAGAAAAGGTGTTATGTCTAGGGCACATGGGGCAGTATGGGTCACTAGCAAAGCTGATGTATTTATTGGGGGTAGTAATTCCAAATCTCACGTTCATGTTCCTTCAAATCCTTTAGCAGATTTTCTCCTCTAATAAATGGACTCCACGATCACAGATTCCCAAACGTGCTACCACTTCTCTTAATCAAACAGTATCCTCTAGTGTTACATTAAATATTGCATCTAAAGCCAGAGTTGTCAACTTCTCCCAACTTTTAACACAACCAAAATAACCACCAGGCGAGAGACCTTGGCCGCTCTCTCACTTTTCCTCTCATCCCCCACTTAGCTGACATACTGCCCGACCGTTTAAGCTAGAATACCTTTTAGGGCTACTGCCTTGTAAATGGGAGGCTGCTCTGACCAAAGATTCCAAGAGTGTTGTAGACTGGTGCGGCCTGTCCTTGCAAGGAAGCAAAAGAAAACAAGACCGCTTGTGCCACTCTGTAGGAGCTGTCTAACGACATTCCCCAGTCTGAAGATACCTAAACAACTCAGCTTCAATTCTGAAAGCCTGACTCTATCATCTACTTAAAAGGGAGTTTAAACACTGAATGTTCTTCTCAAAGGTGACCATCTTGCTTTCTTAAAAGGAGGTAGCTATCAAACCATTAAATTGGCAGCATTTGGCATTCTTGACATTTTAACTCTAAGAGAAACAAAACTACTAAATACTTTATTTCTAAGCAAAAACAAGAGCTCCAGCATAAATCTCTCCTAGACTAGTCATGAAATCCATGACATATTTTAGTAACCCGATGGATACATTCAAAGGTTCAAAATGTTATTTGACAAATAACATAGTCAGTTCTAAGACTCTAAGGATCTGACTTAGAGATAGTTCGGTGGTTACAAACAACACTAATTTAAGCGACAGTCACACTGCTTACTTTCAACAGAATGCAGAGATCTACACCTTATTATTATTAGTTTCAGTATTAGAGCTAGAGAATAATTTTTAAGGATGGCACTCAATCCTACCTATTTACCTGTCAACAAACACAGAACTGAACTGTTAGCCATAAGCACTTTACAAAAGATGCAGGAAACTATGCAAAAGACAATGACACAGCTTAACCAGGCTCTGAAAGACACATACACATTTTGATCGCACTTGTACAAAGAGTCATGTCTAAATGACTAAGGTTCTTGAAACTTAACTGCTATATGTGTTTACAACAGACTCCTAGAGTGTGCCAGTTTTCCGTATCAGGGAAAAACTGAAGGATGTGCTCCTTCTAAAGAACTGAGGCAGAGGGACCTATAAGAAAGGGTCTGAGTAGAAGAGTGTTCTGTGGGAATGCAAGTTACTTGTCACTATGAAGCAATTTCCAGGGTTTCCTCTGGCTTGAGGTTTAAGACAAAGGAGAGAATTATTTCCTTCTTTGAGTTCTTCCCAAAGCAATACGGACATCTCAAAATCTATTCCAAAGCAATACAGAGATGACCAATTCTCTAATAAGAATTTACACACGTTGGCCTGCATTAAAAATAAAAAAGTTTTCATAAATGGCAGATTTTAGAGCTGTGTGACCCATCTGGCTAAAAATAAAGCAGATCAGGTAGAACTCAAAATCATAGAAAAGTTTTTACTAAAAGCTCAAGGATAAAAATGAGCACTGCCAGGCTAATGAACTCAACATCTGACAATAATTACCAAAAGCTTTAAAATATAGATCCAAACTACAACCTCAAGAGGACCAGGTTTATTTATTCTATAGACAGAGCAGTTCAAGATGCTGAGAGGCAACATTTGTTTAAATTATGACAATGTGATTGTTTTCAAAGTGTGTTTATTTGGGGAAAAAGTGATTATAGAAAAATACTTGAAATAATTTGCCAATGAGGTTGCAGATTCTAACAATAATCCACATCATCTTCGATTTTTAAGTGTGTGGTTTCATAATTTAAACAAATTGAAATCTTGTTTTAAACAAATTGTATCAAAGAGCTATTCAATATACTTCATCGCTTTAACGTTCCATAAAAACCGAATAAAAATCACATTTGAATGATTTACTTTTACATTTTTATCTGACTGTATCCATCAGACGTACTATACATCCAAGTACAAGAGGCAGATATCTTCTCTGAGAGGTGCAAGAGTTGTTCTTTCATGAATGCCCTCTAAGAATAGTGAAACCAGCAATTTTTATATATGCATATTCATGTGCATATACATGTACTTCAAAAAGCAAAGCGTCCTCTCTTCGTCCATTAACTTAATGGTAAGACTGCAATAGAAAAAAGAAAAAGTAAACCTCGAGTTTTTCTAAGTGGAGTTTATTAACTCCTTGCTGTGGTTTAAAATAAACTTACTGCTTAATAAATCCAAACGGCAAGTCATCCCATTTATTTTGGCATACAATTTGCAAACAAACAAACAAAAATTTGTATAGCAAGAAGTTAATACTAATGAAAGTAAGTTTTGGGGGCATTTTATTAAGATTCCTTTTCCTTTACAGTTGAGGTGGATGTTTCATTAATCTAGTTGGAGACCTGATTATTTTGTTAAGAGTCATTCCCCACCCCCCAAGGAGAATCATGATTCTTTCTTAAGACTCACGTGGCTTACTTCTGGGGGGAAGTGGGATGCTTTTCTATTTGGTTGTATGTCCAAGACAGGTTCTCCAACTAAGATGTCAATCCTACCACTCTGGCTTGGCTGACAGTAAAGCATGAAGCATTACCTGTAACTGACAATGCAGAATAGTGGTATAATCTGGAGCTCAATGCTGCGGAGGATCTAACAGAACTTTGGCTGAGCAACACTAGGGAGAGTTACAGGAAGGACAGGAAAGGCTATGTATTCACTGTCCTAGATGCTCTAAAAATCTACCTCTGTATGAAGTCACAAAGGCAGAAACTTTTTACCGAACTGTGCTTTGGTGTGATGCCATAAAATGCGACAGAGAAATACTTAAAAAAAAAAAAAAAGTCCAGTGACGTGCACCTGAGTTTTCTTCAGGGATGTTATTGAGGACATTGCTTACTACATTACAAAGTCTTTGGGAAATTTTTCTATTTTCAGTACCAGGAATACTTTTGTTTTCATCCTTCTAAATGCTTTATCTGGAGCCTGAGATTTACCCTTACCTTATATACACACATCCCTTCTTTTAAAAGTTTTAAATGCTTTTTAATCTTCTCTCTGAACCCAGAGGCAAATCATCTTTCAGTTGTGCTTATGTGACTGTTAGTGCATTTCAGATAACAAATTTAACACTCACATGGGGGCCACCAGGCATCGGTGGAGCACCAGAAGGTCCTGAAGGCACGTGAAAAGGACTGTTGGGAGCGGGGTAGAGTCCTGGTGTGGGGTACGATCCTGCGGGGGCGGGGTACGGTGCTGGTGGGCCCCAGGCTCCCGGTGGAACCGTGCCCCATGGAACGGGCGGCGCTGCCCCTGGTGCTTGGGGCGGGGGCGCGGGGTATGGCCCTGGAGACGGGTATGGCATATTAGGGGTAGGATACTGCCCTCCCATTCCAGGTGCCCAAGGTCCCGAAGACATGGATCCCCATGGACCTAAAGGACCAGCAGCAGCTGGATCTGTGGGTGCCCCATATGGTCTTGGAAGCTCTGGAAAGGGCATATTTGGTGTAGGATATGGCCCCGTGGGGCCAGGGCCTGGCACAGTTGGGGCTGGATAAGGACCACCCGGTGGGGGACATGATGGTCCAGAAGGAGGAAAGGGTGCTGGGGGTCCTGGAGGTGGTCCGGTGGGAGGCACAGAGGGATACATTCCTGTTGGTGCTGGTCCAAAAGGCACAGTGGAGGGTGTTGCACTTGGTGGGAGTCCAGATGGCACAGAAGGTGGAGCACTTGGGTTATTCCAAGGGTTGGAACTTGGCCAGCCTTGAGGTTGGCCAGGTTTTGTATTGCTCACAGCAGAGGTTTTGGCAGGGGAGTGTTCAGGTAGTGCATCTGCCAACTGGAATACAAAACAGGCATGTATCAATCTTATTTAGGGCCAAATCATGTCAAGCATGATTATAAACTAATAAAGGATAGTAAGCTGTAGGGATTACAAACTCCTAGAACATCTTCAATAGCCAAACTGCTCGGTTTAAAAACAATTCATTTAATATAAAAATCAACTTTCCAATGCAAATTCCTTAGAGGAGATCAAATTTTCTAAATACAATTACTCAAAATACTGTGGATTTGAATCCTGGCTTTACCTCAAACAAGTTACATACTCTCTGAGCTTTAGTTTCCTCATTAAAAAAAAAAAGAAAAAAAAAAAGCTTAGCATTAACTTGAGGCTTAAATGAGATAATTCATGTAATACCCTTAACATAGTGCCTGGTGTATATTATATTCCAAAAATGCTGGCCATTATTAACACTGCCATGTGAACAGAGAACAGAAGCAACTTAACACTTTTCAAATTTTTTTACTTAAGGATTCATAAATATATATAACAGAATAAAATTTCAAACATATTATATCTAAGTCAATTAAGGCAGATCAGCTATTAAAATCACATGCTCTCCCCGGCCAAAAGCAAGATCACAATAAGCATCTCTTTTAAATTAAAAGACTTATATGGCCTGCAGTTAGAACTAGGTCATTTTCTTAAGAGCCAAAATACTTATGAAGGATAAATGCATCAACTTACCGAAAATTCATCAGACATTTTCCTAAAAAAGAGAAAGAAAGGAAAAAAAAAAAGAGAATACTTCAAAACCAGTGCTTAACATTTCCTATATATTCTTTAAGGAACTCTGTATACACTACTGTTATTTAATCATATATGCAAAGTCTTTTTCTTTATATAGGGAAAACTTTCATTGTAGTTCATGTAGTTCTACAAATGTCATCCCCTTTTACTGGCAGCACATCATATAAAAGTGATCCACAATATAGTATGCATTCTCATTTTGGTGGTAGTTTAGGTTGTTTGCACTGTGAGCTGTTTTAAACAATGATAGAGTGAACACTTCTCAACACATATCCTTGTGAATGTGTCATCAGGAAAAAGTACTGGAAGTGAAATATGCAGTCAACAGGTAAGGCTATCTAAAATAAAATACATCTTAAAAGTCCATGTCACTTTAAAGTCCTTTACCAATTACACTCTTTTAAGATTTTATTTACTTATTTGAGAGAGAGAGAGAGAGAGAGAGAGAGAAAGGAGCAGTGGGAGAGGCAGAGGGAGAAGCAGACCCCTTGCTGAGCAGGGAGTTTGATATGGGGCTGGATTCTGGGACCCCAAGATCATGACCTGAGCCAAAGTCAGATGCTTTATTGACGGAGCCACCCAGGTGCCCCTAACTTAATGTATAATCTATCTTTTCTTGGTGTATATGACAAGCTACCCTTAACACATTCTACTGCCAATATTGACAACAAATACAGAGTACCACAGAACAGGTACAGTACTCAAAGTGTTTTAGGTGGGTAATCTCATTGAATAGATGCACATTCTTTCACTCAGTTGACAGCTTGAGAAAAGGAAGCTCATCAAGTTAACTCGTTTAAGGGGACAGAGCTAGTAACAAGTAGAAAAGGGGTCAAACTCAGGTACAATCTGACTCCAGAGCCAAGGCTCTTAACCACCAGGCTACAGAGCCTCTATTATTTCCCATGGATATTTTGAAGTCTGTTCTTCCCTACTGATCTGCACCACAACATTCTATCTTAATTTCAGTAGCTTTATATTTTTAGCAAATTTTAATGTCAGATGACCTATTGCTGTTGTCTTTTCCCCCTAGATTCCTGAATATTCTGTTTATTTTTTCCAGATCATTTTGTAAAAAAATAAAAAGAATCTGTTGGTGTTCTGGTTGGAATTGCATTAAATTTACAGATTAATTTAGAGAACATGTAACATATTCAAAATATCAGATCTTCTCATTCAAGAACAAGGTAGATTTTCCTAGTTCCCATCATTGTCATTTATCACTCAATAGTTTATTTTTTTAAAGTAAACTCTAGCCTTAATGTGGGGCTTAAACTCACAGCCCTGAGATCAAGAGTCCCATGCTCTACTCACTGAGCCAGCCAGGCACCCCTATGTGAAAAAATTTTAGTGTATCACTTTTGTAAGCAGTAACGTTACTAAATTATTTTATTCCTTTAAGTGTCACAGCTGATTTCCTGGGATTTCGGGTACAGAATTATGTCATCTGCAACAATCATCATCATAATAATAATTTTACATTCTTTGTCCGATATTTACACCTTTTTTCCTTTGCATCTGCTAAACTTAACAATGAAATGTTAAATAGTGATAGTAAGCACAATGGTCTTGTTCCCAACTCTCCTTGAAATGCTTCCAATGTTTAAATAAAATTCCCATTTTCAGTTTGAGATGGAAAAAGTTACATTAAAGATGTCTATTTATGCCTATGTTGCTAGATTTATTTATTCCTATTTTGCTAGTTAAAAAACATTTAGAGGAAAAAACAACATTTAGAGATGACACTGCATTTCTTCAGATCTTTTTGACATCTAATGAGCTGATCACAAGAGTCTTTCTCCTTTGACCCATGTACACAGTTAATTATATATAAAAATTGCTTAATACTGAGCCATCCTTGCATTCTTAGAGTTTTATTTTCAAGTACAATTGGCTAACAGGAATGATAAAGAAAAAGAATATGAAGCCTACAACTGCTATGACCTTGCTATTTATTCAGAATATCAAAAAACACATCTTGAATATAAAGCAACTATCCAATCACTCCCACGTTAAGGCTTTATAATAAATCATTATATCACACAATAGTAAATTCTTAAGATGAACATCTGAAGAAACTTTTATCAGTGCATGGCAAGTTTAAAGTCTACCTAAGATTAACATGTTTTTCAAATAGGGTGAGCCTTTCTGAAACAGAAAATGGTTCTGTATCAAAGTTCACATTAATTCTGAAGCAGAGAACTAACAAAGCAATACATTCAATTTCATGTGGTCCTGCTGTTCAGGTTTTCAGAATTACTTTTCCCTCTTAAAAAAATACACACACACACACACACACACAATATAAAGTTAACTAATTATAAAATTACATTAGAATGTACGTTATTCCGTAAGTTAGTAATCTTAAACGGACTCACAACTCTGGCTTTCCAAATTTGAAGTTAAAAATTAAATCCTGGGGGCTCCTGGGTGGCTCAGTAGGTTAAGCATCTGCTTTCAGCTCAGGTCATGATCTCAGGGTCCCGGGATCAATCCCTGAGTCTGCCTCCCTGCTCAGCGGGGAGCCTGCTTCTCCCTCTCCTTCCCACTCGTGCTCTCTCTCGCTATCTCTGTCTCTCTCTCAAATAAGTAAATAAAATCTTAAAAAAAAATTAAATCCTAGAAGATAAAGGAGGTATTAGAATCTTAATGATTAAGTAATGAAGCCCTAACTAAAGGAATTAAAAGTAGATCATTTCTTGTTCTACAGCACTTTTAGTAAAGTGACCTTCTCTCCGTGTCTAGAATATACAGTGTTCTTATTAATAGGAAACATTCTAATTTATTCTTACTTTCATCATAAAAAGGTAAAACATAAAGTTGAACATCAGTGTCTGAATATGAGAAGAGTTACATAATTTTTTTTGAGTTATGTAATTTTTTAAATCTAGATTTTCTAAAAAACTATTCCAAAATACCTAGATTATGCTAATTTTTTAAAGGGGAGGGGAGAGGCAGAGGGAGAGACTCTTGAGCAGGCTGCACGCCCAGCGTGGATCCCCACACGGGACTCCAGCTCATGAGATCATGGTCTGAGCCCAAATCAAGAGTTGGGCACATAACCAACTGAGCTACTCAGGCGCCCCTGGATTATGCTAATTACGATGAGGCCAAAAGAAAAAAAAGGTTTATAATCAAGAAAGATTTTCATTTTTCATTTTAGAATACTGTAAAGCTATTATTTCCAAAACTTTCCATTACTACTTTATGGCAGGATCTATGCATCATCTGAAAAATAATCATTCTATTTTCTGAGCAGCAAGAACAGTAATTTAAAAACAGTACAAAATTTCTTTGGACATACACTAGAAAAGTAAAACATTTCTGTTAACTCTTATGGCTTTTAGAGTAACATGGCAATCCAATCACAAGGAGGTTTTAAAAAGCTGAACTCTGTAAATTACTAGTGACTACGAAACAAGGCCACTATTTCAAAGGGGCCATCACATTGTGGTGGAGTGATAAAAAGCATAGAACTAGACAGTTATGAAATATGGACATCAATCCTCTTGACTAAGGTAAACTCCTTAACCACAGACCATTTCTCATCTGCAAGACAGTTTTAATTCCTGACTACTTTACAGATAATTAAAAGTAACATGTTTAATAATCTATAAAGTAGTACAGACATGTAAGATGTTTATTAAAAGAAACTTAAGAGGGGCGCCTCGGTGGCTCAGTGGGTTGAGTGTCCCACTCTTGGTTTTAGTTCAGATCATGATCTCAGGGTCATGGGATCAAGCCCCACTTCGGGCTCCCTGCTTGTGCTCCAGGAGAGGAGTGCCTTGAGATCCACCATCCCCATGCCCCTCCCCTCAACTCCCACACCCTCTCTAAATCAATAATACAATCTTTAAAAAAAAATCCTCTCCCTCTCCTTTTGCCCCTCCCCACCTCTTAAAAAAGTAAATAAGAAACTAAGAGAAATGGGGGGAGATGATGGTAATATGCTGAAAATACAAAGTTTGAATTAGAATATCGTTTTACCATTGGCTCTTTTATCAGGTACGTTCTATTTTACATTTGGGCAACTCAAGGATCTGGGGACTTGATAAAGGTTTGGAGTATTTTAAACTTTTTAAAGCCATGTAACTTTAAAAAATCATTTTTTTAATACTTATTCCTGGAACATACATACCAGGCACTGTATTGGGCTTTAGGGAAATGAGCAACACTGCATGGAAAAAATCCTTAAGGAATTCAGTCTGGTGAAGAACTAACCTTTAAACAGTAATTACCTTACCTGGAGTAAGCACAGGGCACCAAGGGAGTACCTCAAAGAGCTCCTAAAGGAATCAAGGAAGGGAGTGTCAGGGGAGGAATCCTGGGGAAACAATGGAGAGCGAGCCGGGCGTGGGGGATGGTGGCACAGGCCCTAGGAAGGACGAGCAGATGGTGCAAAAGCTGGAGGAGGCAAGAGGACGCCCCGGGAAGTGCAAGCAGTTCAGATTGGTCGGACTACAGAAAGGAGAGGGGAGAGGAGTCAGCAGAGAGCCTTCAGACCAAGGCTTCAGTGTCTCCATCAGATTCAGCTCACCTGAGTGACTCTGTTTTCCATCTATAAAGGGGCTAGTGATGTGAAAGACTGAATGGTACTCCTAAATTGTCTATAATAACAGTGCTCCAAAAATAGCGGGTGGGCAACAGATACATTGCCCCCTCTTCCTTTGTACACAGATATGCAGCCTAGGTTGAGCGACCCTGAAAGTTACCACTGCCTAGATAAAACCGCAGCTCTTCACTCGCTGGCTCTGGACAGGCTGAACTCCTCAAACCTCAGAGATATAAGTAGACAGGAATGGCATCCACCTCACAGACCTGCCCTGAGACTTACATAATAAACAAATCTCCTGGTCACTGTCCGGCACACAAGGAAAACTCAACAAACGTCAGCTTTTACAACTGCTGTTATAGGTCTGTAAACCTTTCTCTGAAGTTCTCCATTCAGAAACTTCTGAAAAGAAAAGAAACCTTCACAAAACGGTGGCAAAGCCTGGCCTGAGGATATTTATAGTTTCCATTAAGTCATACCTATCACTGCACAAATATGAATGTTGTCTTAGGGACGCTGCCGCAACTTTGCCGGGGTGATAGCTCTTGTCTATGCATCTTATTCTCTTCCTAAAATCTAACGATACAATCCAAAGATTTCCGAATTCCAAAACACACTGGCCCCAAGCCTTGCAGTTAAGGCATGGGTCTCTCTCTGTTCCTCCTGGAGAGAGGAAAAGAACATTCTAATACACACAACCCAAGTTTCTGAGACAAACTAGTTTCGAATAGGAGGTTCAGAGACGCCAGTACCAAGAAAAATTTCTGTTCTTCCTGCCCAATGAATACAGCCGAACAAAGAACTTCTGAAAGATCTCTGAAGGCTATCTTGGCCTGTAATGAAGATTGGTTTTCAAAACAGGCCTTTACAATCATCAGGTGTGAGAGTGCGTATTTCTTTGGCTTTAAGGCTATAAAAATTTTTTTTCGGTATGGTTTGATTGCCTCAACATTAGAAATTTTATCCGGTAAAAGCACTGCTCTTGGTTTTCAAAGAGGAAATGGTTCAGCTATTTATAACCTTCCATGCGTAACATAAGCTCCTAAATCCTAAAAAAGAGAGTATCACCGAACTCAGCGCTTCTCACGGTTTCTGTCATGTGTATTCATCGAATGTATTAGCTAGCAACTCCTTTGGTAAGTAACGACCAGAACGTTGTCACATTGCGGACAATCTTAATTAAGCAAGTGCCAGATTCCTCCAAGACTATTCAGGCCCATCTCTCCCGTTTTATTAGAAATTAATGAATGGGGGAAGGGGGTCGGGGCCAAGGGGCGCGAGCCGGGAACCCTTTAGGGCCAAACGAACAAAGAGAGTCCGGGATCAACCGGAGCGAACCGGCCTCCGAGCGGGTCTCGCCGCCCGGGAAGGGGTGGGGGTGGGTGGGGTGGGTGGGGGTGGGGCCGGGCACGCTAGCCGCCCCGCCCCCAAACCAGGCCTGACGTCAAGTGCGGAGAAACCCGTCGGGCGCGACGTCACCCGCCTCCGACGCCTCCTCCCCGGGGAGCTCTCGGGGGGCACGTCGCAGCTCAGAGGAAGATGGCGGGGGCAGACGCTTAGTCCCGGCCGCCGAAAAGGCGATTCCAGGTACCTCTGTTACCGCGCCTGTCTCCCGCTTGGGCGCTCTCCCTTGCGCCCCTCCACGATCCCCACTAGCGCCGAAGCAGCCTCACCCGGCAAGATCCGAGCCCGCAGCAAAGTCTAGAAGCGACGATGGGTCCGAGCGAACCGGGCGCCGAAGAACCGAACGCGGAGTGACTGACGGCAGCAGCGGCGGCAGCACCAGCAACACCAGCACTAACAGCGCGCGGCTCCTCCTGGCGCCGGAACAGGAAGCGCCGAGCGCGCCGCCCCCGCCAGCGCTCTCCCCTCCTCCCGGGGCCGGGCCGGGCAGCGCGCGCGCCCCCAATAGGCTTTCGGCGGTACTGCGGCCTGCCCGGCAGGGTGGGGCGGCGCGGCTGCTCTTCGGGCTCGCCCAGGGTGGCTGTTTTCTTCTGGTGGGCGGGAGGAAAGCTCCCCGGTTTTCCGGAATTCTGAGCACTCGGAGGAAATGTCTGTAGTCAGTGATGTTCTGGGCATCCCGGCGGAAGTTGCTAACTTGTTTCCTGGAGTGGTGTAAGGACTGGTTCTGGATTTCCTACGCTTAGGGATTTTTACAGCCGGGCCTCGAAGCTGGCTGGGTGTGGATGCGGCCAACCAGCGGATACTGGCCCTCGGGCCCAAATGGAGGAGCGCTAAAGGAACGACACAGGAAAGGGAAGACGTTTGTAAATAGCTTGGCAATTGATACTAAAAGCTGTCTATGCAGGCTTTTCCTGATCAATGCCTCTTCCCTCCACATGTTCAGAACTTTACCTATTCTAGGTCAGTTCTGAAGGATAATGGATAAATTCCCCCAGCGCCAAGGAAATCTGGCGAGTTATGCAGATGCCATAATTATATAGTGTGTAAAATATATATACATATAGTATGTACATATACGTAAAAATACGTTAGAAGGATGCAGAATCATTACAACATTTTGCTTTGTGTTACCCGTTAGTGGGTCACTGGGCATAGGCATTTTATTAGAAATTTCTTAAACGAAGATTTACTCCTGGATATGCTCCTCCAGCACACATACTTGTCTTACTGAAAAACGAGCTATAGAGAAACTGCAAATACCCAAGCCTGTTGAAGACTTATTTTTGGACAGGGAAAATGGTCTATGGAAAAGGGTATTAGTGTGACTTACTCTGCCCTCAGGAGTCAGTGAATCCACAGTGCCTTGTGGAGCTATAAGGAAGCCTGAGTCACCAGAAGTCAGTAAACCTATATTTAAAATTTTGGCATTTCTCTTCATTAGGTTATTGTTTTAATTCTGGTATTTAAAAAGATTTTATTAGAGAACAAGAGAGCACAAGCTGGGGGACCCACAGAGGGAGAGGGAGAAGCAGGTTCCCCCCTGAGCAGTGAGCCAGTCACGGAGCTCCATCCCAGGACCCCGGGATCATGACCTAGCCGAAGGCAGACTCTTCACTGACCGAGCCACCCAGGCGCCCCTTAATTCTGAATTTAAAACGTTGTACTGAAATACGAGATTTTCGGTCAAAAAATTTTTGTGCCCAGGTTGAGTGCCTCACCCACCTCACCCCAGTCCTGGTCACTATCAGAGTAACTGACAGCCTCGTTTTTCCATGCTCTCAGCAACAGCGTACTGTGTTCTAGAGCTAGGTCATTCCTGTCCCACATGGGCTCGGTCAGTCAACCTTTGCTTGGATACTAAATCCCCGTCTAACTTTTTCACAATTGCAGTGCAGTCTGAAGCCCACCCTCATCAATCTTTCCATTTCTTTCATGTATGTCAGACTTGCAAAGTGATAGGGAGACTTCCACACCTTCCTTCATAAGTGTTTCCCCAATAAATCTCTTGCACATTTAATCACATTTTGGCATCTGCTTCTAGAAGACCCAAACTGACACATTAAGACATAAGGTGTATTTTGAATTAGAAAATGTGTAATATAGGTTTTAAAGTTTTTTATTCTTTTTTTAGATTTGAGAGTGTATGCAGGCATGAAAGCGCGGGGGGGGGGGCGGGGGGGAGAGGGAGGGTACATGGGCAGAGGGAAAGACTCCCAAACAGCTCTTAGGACCCTGAGATCATGACTTGAGCTGAAACCAAGAGTCTGATGCTTAACTGACTGAGCCACCCAGGTGCCCGCAATTTTTTTAGGTTCTAAGTTGAATGTGCAAAGCCAGGATATACAATGTTTTTTAAGAGAGAGCTTGTGCAGAGATGGATAGAATCTTAAGCAGGCTCCATGCCCAGGGTGGAGCCTGAGGCGGGGCTTGATCTCAACCCTGAAGTCAGGACCTGAGCTGAAATCAAGAGTCAGATGCTTAACCAACTGAGGCACCCCAGGATATACAATGTTTTAAAAACAAAATACAAAGCCTTTGGGTTTTATATACGAAGTTTTAATTAAGAAGAAGTGAAAATTTATTCAGATCAATTTATTTGAACTCACATCCAAGAAGAAACATTCAACTTCAGGATTAGAAATAAAAATGGAAAGAGTCTACTTCTTTTTGGGTAAGGGGAGGATCATACAAGCCCAACTGACAAGAGTACTAACAGTTTTGTGAAGTTACTACTTAAACTCTGTATATTCAAGTATATATCAAGTTCATACTTGGCTTATACAGAATTGATTCAATCCTAGCAAAGCAAGCATAATTTAAGTAAACCTTGAGTTTTACTTTCTTAAGTCTGAAAGTTTAGATTTGATTATAACCACAGCAAAAGTGATTATCTTCACTTCCTGCAAATGTAATCAACTTCTGAAATAACAGGCAAACATCAATTTTACATAAACCTTATGAAGGGTAGGAGGAAACTGCAATTGTTCATCCAATTCCAGAGTCTAAACCATAAATCCAAATTGTACTGTTACATCTATTGTCAAATCAAGCCAAGAAAGCCTATTACAGACTATTAGAAGTGAATGTGAATTTGCAGGGTCCACTGAGGGGATACTTTGAAAATCTATCACGTTATTTTCAAGAAATTACAGAAATTATTTTCAAGTATGCTCCAAGGGTCATCTCTTAAATGAAGAATTAACCTTCAGGAAGTCATGACAAGTATTATTTTTCTACATTTTATATGCTAGGAGATGAAGATAAAGATTTAGGATTGAGTAATCTATTCAAAATTAAAAAATAGATTCTGCTTTTATTTGAAATAGGATTAATGTGCCCCAAATCCCTCTCTGTTGCGCTGTACCCGTTAGTCTACACTTCTACTTAGAAGCCAACCCATTTAAAAAGTCACTTCCACTGTGTCGAATATCTTAATATATTAGAATGGCATAGGCAGACTCTTGTGGCATTGCTCATTTCTACTAGGTCATTAAAAAAAGAAAAAAAAAACCTTTGTGCTTTCCGTTCATTCTTTAGAAATAAAAATAAATGTAAAACTGATTAAAGACCAAAATTGTAAAGATTTTTTTCCAAAATATAAACAATAGTCTGCTTGACTTAAAATCTTTTATTCATTTGGGTATTACTTAACACACAGGGTTTTTTTTTTTAACATTTAAACATTATTCTCCCTGTGTTGTCTCCAGAAATAATTAAGTCTACTTTCCTGTAAAATTTACTCCACCAAAATCAATATATAGCCTATTTGACTCATTACAGCTAAAAGTGACAAAAACGTTTTTAAATGAAAACTAATAGTATAAGAGGTTTCAAGGTTTTTGTTTCATAGGAAGAAACCGCTCTATTACGTGGGTCTATAAAATGATCCAAACTTCAGAGAGACAGGAAGCTGATAACTTGATTTGTCTTCTTAATGGCTTTGGCTCATGAATAAATGATAATGGTTTGTATTTTTCTTATAAAAAGAAATGGAATTTGTATGAGTCCCACATTTACTCTACTTTTTAAAGGATTTCTAATTACTTAGACATTCTTTGTATTATTTATAATAAGTCACAACTTTAACTGAAAGCCATTCTTTGACCATTAGCTGAAATTCAGGAAAGAACACAGTTCTGTTCACCAAATCAATAAATCTAACCACAGGCTGACTAAAAGCTTCCTTTAATCTTCTTCCTATTAGGTCTTCCTTTAAATTAAACCATTCTCTCTATGAATTATTTAAGTGAATGGCATGGCTATAGAAAGATCACATAGGATTCTTCATACAAAAATGCTCAAGGAACCTAAAAAAATCCATTCAGAATATTTCAGGAATTAAGAATATGAATCAAGATGCTATAATAGCTTAAAAAAAAAAAAAGATGCGTGGTGGTGGTGGTGGAGTCATCCTGAAAAGCTTGAGAAATAGAAGTCAAGTTTATTTCCTGATTAGTGCAGGATGATTCCCAAAGCGCAGTTAACTGTCTGGTCCAGACTAGCTATTAGCAGTTAAGTAGTTCCCTTTCACTGTCAAGGCTCTTCCCTGAGGTGATGCCTAAATTCTTAATTTTAATATTTTATCTTGTTTCTTTTAGCTCCATACTCTCTCACCAATAAGCTCTACACATTTCCACCATGCTGATGCTTTCTCAACTCTGGAATTTACACTTTTCAAATGCCCACAAACTTAAGAGTTAAAAAATTTATATTTAGATATATTTGTATCTTTCCTCATGTTCCTCTCATGACTTAGTCACTTTTGTTATATATTCTAATAATTACATATTTTACATTTTAAAAGTAAGTTTGTGAATACTGGATGCTCTTCCAAATGTATCCTCACAAAGAGAAAGGGATTAACCTTTCTAAATTCCAATTCTTCAATGTTTTAAAAATTTATTATTACTCTTTCCTTTTTTCTTCATGGTAAACAATTCCCTTCTCAAGTCTTTATACTTCTACTTTCCAGATTTCTTTTCACTGTAGCAAATACCAAAGGAAAAATACAAACCATTTCAGAGTAAATGAGTCTCTTCCCTGCTCTCATTTATTAGATCATTTACTTCAAGGATATATACATGGCAGTATTTTGAAAATGTTAACAGCTATTAATACCTTGAAGTTGAAAAAATAAGAAAGCCAGAGAAAATATATCACAAGCAACCAGTCTGAATATATGAAAAGCTACTTATATCTTGATTTTCATATAAACTTTTTACCATTATAAAAGACAACATAATTATATTTCATTTTTTCTTTATAAAATTACTCTTTAACAGAATATTTGTTAGCTAGTCATCCCTTAGGTTTTTCTGTACTGATAAAAAGTTACTTTTAAAAGAAAAATATTTAAAACAATAATTGTTTCACAGAAACAGAAAGTCTCATTATCAAAATCTGATAAAAAACTATAATCA